AGAGGGAGAAGTTGGCTTTTCCAAAGAAGATAATTGGAGGAAGAAAGTTTGATGGTGATCATATGGATTAGAGTATTGAAAGGAAGAAGATGATAACAAGATTCGGAAGCCATAGAGAAGAAAGGATCAGGGTTGTTAAACCGAAAGGGCTCTGATACCATGTGAATGTTTGATTAATCCACCACACCCAAATGGTGGTGAGAGTTCTCTTATTTATAATCATTTACAGAATACAGAAATAAGGTAAATTACAAATAATAAGGAAATAGCGATAAAAGGAAAGAATAATAAATGAATACAATATATTTGCATTTAGTAAAAGGGAAAATATGGTAACCCGTAATGTAAGGCAAATATCTAGATATTTGCCTTAATGAACGGTCAACTATCCTTAACAGGTAGGCTAGGGCTATTACAGTAATACTAACCTTAAAATGCTTATGAATAGTTGAAACTCATAATAAAGGGTCTAAATGTATCAGACCCAAGCTAGATCAGCCAAAATGTCAGCCTGGTGACGTCAAAAAATGTATTTTTCGACTCGCTTCAAACCACTCGAATGTGATGAAATGAAGACCAAATATTGTATTCTTTGACGATTTCGAACCACTTTCATTTTCTTTTTATTTTTTTATTTTGGGTTATTACTTATGAATAGTGGATAAATGAAAGTTTTTAAACATTTAAGTTTCTTTTAATAGCCAAACAATCGAAAATAGAGGGTTGGGTTTGGTTGGATTACCGATTCAACAAATCCGAACTTTTGGGTTGGTTCAAAAAAACTTCCTCAACCCAACCCGACCCAACCCGACCCGACCCATGTACGCTCCTAATTTTGAACCGTTACTTTGGCCTTCATCACGTTGTGGTCAAATAAAATAAGTGAATTATTATTCTAACCTATGCTACTAAAGTCAACATAACCACAACATAAAAATGGCAACAACTCCGACCATATCAAACATAAATATTTAAATTTCAAGCTACACCCCCTCCAACATGTTACACCTAGGCTGACCTCAGACAATAAAAATTCATGCAGGCTGTCGTCTAAGGAATTGTAGTACGCGGTTGGGTGATTTTAATAATTCTGTTTATCGGTCGGCAGATGTTGAAGGAACGTGTGATTATTTGTTTTCAAAAAAGGAATATTTCATGCTAAAGTTGTAATGTTTTAATATACTTAGAATTATTTGTTTTTGAAATATTAATTCATGTCTCATGTATTATGCTAATGATTAGTTTCGTTTTTGTTTAATCTTTATAAAGTTATTAATTTTTATTTAAATAATTCTCCTCCATAAACTTGATTTTACTCGAGATTCTTTATTTTGAGCAACTCATGCATGTCTGCAGATTTAATCTTTGTTAGAGTTTTGGTGAGAATGAACGACGGCTAAGGCCAACCAAGTAAATAACTATCGACTCGGTCGAAAGACTTGCCTTGTGTAGACGACATGTGCCTAGTGGCTCTTGCACTTGTCATTTATGTTTTAGATTATATGATTATGTGAATATGATAGATGATGCGACTATGTTATATGATGATGATATATGATGTTATATGATATTATACGACGATGTTATATGATGACGTTATATGATGATGACATGATGGTGATGTTGTATGATAACATGACGATGTAAGATTCATGATGAGATGACCTTATATGACGTTTTTCCATATTAGGATGATGTGTATGTATTAAATTTCATGATGCATTATGACGATGATTTTGCTAAGACACAACCCTAATTAATGTTAATGATGATGAACGTATAGAGGCTAATGCATGCATGTTACCTAGGATAATGTGTGAATGGTTTATAGGGTTGTATCATAAAGATGATTTAAAAATGAAAACGATAGGGAATTCATGCAATTTGTGTGTTCATGTACATCGGGTTTCTTTCTCATTTATGAGGATGAGTACAGACGTGTACACTATGATAATTATCGTCGTCTTGTCACGCACGACATTCGAGAGACTGTTGACCTCCAGACATTGGCTACGAACAGCTAGCCTAACTATGATGGTCTAGGGGGTGTGAACAACCAAGAGATTCATGCTCGCATGTGTGTGTAGGGAAGTATTACGCACCCAATTTTATCCGGAGGCCATCCCTATGATGGTTTTAATGATAGTTTTTAATGATAAGTTGCATGTAATAATTAAGGTCACTTACTAAGTATTTCTTAAAATACAAGTGGTGTGCTACTTCTATTTCAGGTAAAGGCAAGACACCCTTATACAACTAATGACAACATCACAAGTAGAGACCATAGTACATGCATAGGATAGTGCTATTCAATTTTCTTAAACATAAGTTAGTATAGGACGTTTTATTTGTTTTATTTAGTATTTCATATTGTTGTTTTAAAAATGTTATCAAACATGTAAGTCCATGACAGTGTTTTATGATAAAGTTTTTTAATGTTTATTTCTACATAAGAGGGTATAATATGATAACGGTAGGTTACCTTTTTTTTTCTTCAAACTGACCTCCTCCTCTTTTATATCTCTCTTTTCTTTTTCCTAATCTCATCAAATATGGTTGTAAATTGTCATAAGTTTTTATTTAATTTAGTTATTAACTCTCGTTAATTTATAACTATTTATTAAATAAGAATATTATTAATTTTGTGGTTTAATTTTATAACCATTTTAATATTAATCTTATTTAATTCCACAACGTTTGATGATTCAAACAATTGCCCATATATAATGAGCTTCTCTAGGAGGTTGAAGATATCAGAACTTAGATTGAGTTTTGTGTGTTACATTGCATTTCCTGAGTGACATTTTGGTAAGAAACTTTGTAGTGTGAGAGTAAGATATTCATTTGTAACACTTTGAATATTAGTGATTGATTGCTACCCGAAGATGTAGAGAAATTTCTTATCTCTGAACCACGTACATATCTTGGTATCTCTTTGTGTAATTTCGTTCATTAGTGTTGTGAGTATATTCGTTCCGCTTTCAGCCCACAACAAGTGGTATCAGAGCCATATTGTGGTTTTTGGATTATTGTGAAAGTTTTGATTTCATCGACCACTATACGTGCTCACAATCGTGCTTATTTTTTTGAAAATTAATTTTTCAAAAATTATGTTTTTCTACTCTCATCCAGATTACTTATTACAAATGGCAGTCATCTGGAATTAAATCACGACGTGGATCGAGAATTTTGAGTTCTAATCTCGAAGTAGAGAAATTTGATGGAACAAAAAATTTTGGTTTTTGGCGAGGCGAAGTCAGCGATTTGCTGGCCATGCAAGACCTTGATACTTCTCTCGAAGAGGAGATGCCTGAAGACATGACAGACGCCGAATGGAGGAAATTAAATCGACATGCTTGTGGAATTATTCGATCCTATCTTGGCAAGGATCAGAAATATCTATTTATGAAGGTGAACATAGCGAAAGAACTATGGGACAAGCTTGAGGCGAAATATATGTAGAAGAGTGTGGAAAATAAACTCCATATATTTCGCCTTAAGTCAAAACCCAAGAGTTTCTTCTTCAAATGGAGTTTATTTTCGACACTCTTTTGCATATATTTCGCCTCAAGTTTGTCCCATAGTTCTTTCACCATGGTCACCTTCATAAATGGATATTATGATCCTTGCCAAGACAGGATCAAATAATTTCACAAGCTTGTCGATTTAATTTCCTCCATTCGGTGTATGTCATGTCTTCAACCATCTCATCTTCAAGAGAAGCATCAAGGTCTTGCATGGCCAGCAAATTGCTAACTTCGCTTGGCAAAACACCATAATTATTGGTTTCATCAAATTTCTCTACTTCGAGAATAGAACTCAAAATTCTCGATCCATATCGTGATTTAGTTCCAGATGACTCTGCCATTTGTAATAAGTAATCTGGATGAAAGTAGAAAAACACAATTCTTGAAAAATTGATTTTCAAGAAAATAAGCACAATTGTGAACACGTTTAGTAGTCGATGAGGTCAAAACTTTCACGATACCCCAAATATCACAATATGGCTTTGATACCACTTGTTGTGGGCCGAAAGCGGAACGAATGTACTCACAACAACACGAATGAACGAAATTACACAAAGAAACACCAAGATGCTTACGTGGTTCGGAGAGAAGAAATTTTCCTACATCCACAAGTAGCAATCATTCACTAATAATCAAAGTGTTACAAGTGAATACCTCACTCTCACACTAAAATTCTCTTCCCAAAATGTCACTCAAGAAATACACTGTGACTCACAAAACTCCATCAAACTTAGATATCAAATTCCTATATATCCTCAATATCCTAGACAAACCCATTATATAGGGACAATTGTTTGAATCATAATATGTTATGGAATTAAATAAGATTAATATTAAAATGGTTACAAAATTAATAACCAAATTATAATATTCTTATTTAATCGAACTGTTAGAGTTAATAACTAAATTAAATACAAAACTTATGTCCATTTACATGTTAACTTTTGATTTTTTTTCTTTCTTTTGCTATTTAGAAATGGTCATGAATGTTACATAAAATTTTATTCTAATTTTAAAAATAGTTACTATCTTCAAATTTAAAACATATAAATGGTTGGCCAGCTCTAGTACACAAGACATCTAAAAAGATTAAAAAAAAACAATTTTAAAGTGGTCAACTATGGTAATAGTCAACCTGCAAAATTGAAAATAATAATAATAATAATAATAAAGAAAGGTTTATAATAATCCTCACTATGAGCTACTATTTTAATAAACATTGACCTATAAAGTGATTTTTTAGGTCAACAAAAGTATGAGTTTGTTTGTTAAACATGGCCAAGTACAATGAAGAACAACCTGCAACATGTTGATCCAAATATTAGCCGTTTAAGAACTTATTTGATATTAGTCGGTAATGATGGGTAGCCGTTGATAGTTATATTCAAGGAAGTTTTTGAATCGTTTGGAAATTAAATGAAATTTTCTCACTTCTTAATGTAAATATGAATACACAATATGAAACTAAATTTGAAAAGAAAAGAACATATGGATCACACGACGTAAATAATGGAGGACCATTGTTTGAACGTAGTGACATTCATCCTTAGGCCATCTCTTTATTGATATGAGTATTTTCTTCTTTTAACTGCAAGAGTTTCAAGGATTAAGTTAATAGCAATGTAAAATGAAGGAACAAAATATGATATCGTTAAACGGGTTCGAGGGGAGATTTTCATTTGTGAAAAGCTTACCTTAGAGTAGGGATGCGAAGGATATCACTCTAGTAGTGGTATGGAGGTGGTGGTGAGGCATAAATGTAGTCGTTCTTGGGAGGTGGTGGAGACTTGTACTCGTAGTCTTTCTTGGGTGGTGGTGGAGATTTGTACTCGTAGTCCTTCTTGGGTGGTGGTGGAGATTTGTACTCGTAGTCCTTCTTGGGTGGTGGAGGAGACTTGTACTCGTAGTCCTTCTTCGGTGGTGGTGGAGATTTGTACTCGTAGTCCTTCTTGGGAGGTGGTGGAGACTTGTATTCGTAGTCCTTCTTGGGTGGTGGTGGAGATTTGTATTCGTAGTCCTTCTTTGGTGGTGGTGGAGATTTGTATTCATAGTCCTTCTTTGGTGGTGGTGGAGATTTGTACTCGTAGTCCTTCTTTGGTGGTGGAGGAGACTTGTACTCGTAGTCCTTCTTTGGTGGTGGAGGAGACTTGTACTCGTAGTCCTTCTTGGGTGGTGGAGGGGACTTGTACTCGTAATCCTTCTTGGGTGGTGGGGGAGATTTGTACTCGTAATCCTTCTTTGGTGGAGGAGGGGACTTGTACTCGTAATCCTTCTTGGGTGGTGGAGGAGACTTATACTCGTAATCCTTCTTGGGTGGTGGAGGGGACTTGTACTCGTAGTCCTTCTTAGGAGGTGGAGGGGACTTGTACTCGTAATCCTTCTTGGGTGGCGGAGGGGACTTGTACTCGTAGTCCTTCTTTGGTGGTGGAGGGGACTTGTACTCGTAATCCTTCTTGGGAGGTGGGGGAGACTTGTACTCGTAGTCCTTCTTGGGAGGTGGTGGAGACTTGTACTCGTAATCCTTCTTGGGTGGTGGGGGAGACTTGTACTCGTAGCCCTTCTTGGGTGGTGGAGGGGACTTGTACTCATAGTCCTTCTTTGGTGGTGGTGGAGACTTGTACTTGTAGTCCTTCTTGGGAGGTGGTGGAGACTTGTACTCGTAATCCTTCTTGGGTGGAGGAGGAGACTTGTACTCGTAGTCCTTCTTGGGAGGTGATGGAGACTTGTACTCGTAATCCTTCTTGGGTGGTGGGGGAGACTTGTACTCGTAGTCCTTCTTCGGTGGTGGAGGGGACTTGTACTCGTAATCCTTCTTGGGTGGAGGAGGAGACTTGTACTCGTAGTCCTTCTTGGGAGGTGGTGGAGACTTGTACTCGTAATCCTTCTTGGGTGGAGGAGGAGACTTGTACTCGTAGTCCTTCTTGGGAGGTGGTGGAGACTTGTACTCGTAGTCCTTCTTGGGAGGTGGTGGAGACTTGTACTCGTAATCCTTCTTGGGGGGTGGGGGAGACTTGTACTCGTAGTCCTTCTTTGGTGGTGGAGGGGACTTGTACTCGTAATCCTTCTTGGGTGGAGGAGGAGACTTGTACTCGTAGTCCTTCTTGGGAGGTGGTGGAGACTTGTACTCGTAATCCTTCTTGGGTGGAGGAGGAGACTTGTACTCGTAGTCCTTCTTGGGAGGTGGTGGAGACTTGTATTCATAATCCATCTTTGGTGGTGGTGGAGATTTGTATTCATAGTCCTTCTTGGGTGGTGGAGGAGAATAGTAAACTGGAGGCGGTGGAGAGTGATAGACAGGTGGTGGAGGAGAATGGTAAACTGGAGGCGGTGGAGAGTGATAGACAGGTGGTGGAGGAGAATGGTAAACCGGAGGCGGTGGAGAGTGATAAACAGGTGGTGGAGGAGAATAGTAAACAGGAGGTGGAGGTGACATATATTCATACTTCACTTTTGGTGGCGGAGGAGAGTGATAAACAGGAGGAGAAGGTGAATTGTATGCATAGTAAGGAGGCGGTGGAGAAGAGTAGACATAATCAACAGCAAACACCGATGGCAAACTTAGAGTCGCTACCAAAACCGTGGCCAATAGATAGGCCATAGAAGACCTAGATTTCCCCATGTTTGTACCTCAATGGGATTGAGTTCTGCCTTCAAACCCAAGCCTCCCCTCTCTTTATATAGCTTTCAAATAAGCTTCTCCAAGGCAACAAATGACAGCCAACCAATCATAAAATGATATTAATTCTTACACCTAACCTTCGTGGAAGAGAGCAACATGTTGACAAATGAGTATGCCATTGTACTATTCAAATTTGGATTGGATTATAAAATTATTTAAATTTATAACCATAATTTTTTGTTTGAAAAAGCTTCCCATATTATATTTGAATTAATTTTTATATTATCGATCGAAATTTGAAGTATTCCAAATTTATAATATTGAAATAATTAATAATTAATTAGGCGATAATTTAATTATAAAAAACGAAATTATATATCAATAAATTTCTTATTAGGACATTATATCTTCGATAAAAAAAAATATTAGTGATTCATAATTAAATTAAAAATAAATTAATTAATTAATTTAAATTTCTAATTTTTAGTCGAATACATTGAATTTGTTCATCATGCATTTATAAATTTTGATGATAGAGCAATTTGTACGATGAAATCATGTGATGTATAGTCATTTAATGCACGACTCGGTATAAGGGTGGTGGAGACATTATATTTAGTAGTATAGAAAATATGAGGAGATCGCCCCACACCAGTAGCGAAATCAGCTCCTCTTCGAGTCTCACATATTCTCTCCTCTCCCGATAGCTCGAAGTCAGTTGTATGCATTATGTCCTAATCAAACAGATCGACTTCTCTAGGGGTTTTGGCATGTCTAATGCAATCGATTGATTCTATGAGGTATATTCTTCGGTAGTACATAGGCTCACTTTTAAAATATAACTCGATCCGTCCAACCTGATATATATGGTCGAATTAAATTGATTTTGACTTCAAGCATTAGATCGCCTCCCATCTTGATAGCCGAGACTAACCCTCTTGGAGTATGTCTCAAACGAGAGAATATGCTCGAATTAATGTTGAGTCTTCCCTTTCGATTTTGTAAAATTTAAAATAATTATGATTTCACTAAAAAAAAAAAAAAAAAGCATAATTTTAGAAATAGTTTAAATAAATGAACATTCTAGAATGTAGAATGAAAATGGTAGTAATTTATGGCACGTGACCTAACACGTGTGGGGAGAAGAGTTGAATTTTGAGGAAACGTGTGAATATTGAATTTGTTTGTTTTACTTTTTCTTATATGGTTGTTGTAATTTTAACTAACCTTATCAATTTATGGGTTTTTTCTTTTTTTATTTTTCTTTTATTATTATTATTATTATTATTTCTTTTTTGGTTTTTTTTTTTTTTTTTTTT